TTAGGCAGCCCTGCAGGAAGTGGAATGATATACGTGGTCTTCCAAGGGGCTGGAGTTGGGGGGACCATCTGGAAGCAAACGAGCTGTGACTGACCGAGGGAAGCAGTGACCAAGTGTGGGTCATAAGCCACAGGAAGATTGGGTAACTCAAGCAGGGGATTTGGTGCTTTGTCTTGGGTTCTGGCCCACTGCTCTGGACCCTTGAGAGTGAGGACAAAGGAGCTTGGAGCACAGACAGGGAGAAAGGCTGGGAGGTAGAGGCTTCATTGCTAAGAATGGAGACCTTCTCCTTCTTGAGCCAAAGCAGAGCTCGCCTCCTAGAGCAGACAAGTGTGCAGAAGAGTGAGCTCAGCTACCAGCTCTTCCTCCTCACCCCCCACAAGCCTGGGCCCTGAAGTGGGTGCTGCTGTGGCTGAACCCTACCCGTTGTCCTCCCCAGAAGACAAGCTGTGGCTAAAGCCCTACGTGGACCTCCAGGCCTATGAGGACCCTGCACAGGGAGCCCTTGACTTCACCCAGGAGCTGGACCCAGACTGGCTGATGGTGGACACTGTCATAGGGGAAGGTGAGCCCTACTGTGCCCCACAGCTGGTCCCTCCATGTGGCACCACAGAGCCCCCAGCAGACCTCTACCTTCTGGCCTTCCCTGGGTAGCCCAGCTGGCCTCTCCTCTGACCCCACAGCTCCAAAAGAGTTCTCACATGCTTTACTCCGTGTCCTCTTGAATTGCTGGGGTTCATGATAAAAACCCCACATAGGTGCCCTGGGGCAGCCCCTGCTTCCTACACACTTTGCTCTGTGGTTATGGGGTTTCTGACAGTGTTAAACGCATCCTCCCTGAACATAGATGTGTTGTTGAGTGGCTCTGGCTGCTCTCAGATGATTCTCAAAAGTGGAAGACACTCAGAGCCTCCCGAGGCCAGCATTCCACCCCATCAGGGGCCCAGTGTCCTTGGGCTGCCCTGATCCCTCGGGTCACCAGAGGAAATGGATCTGAGCAGCGAACAAAGCGTGGCAGTGTCCTTGCCAATTGTACAGCCAAGCCAGTTAAGCCATGATCAGGGAGTGCACGTAAGAGAGGCAGCAAGGGTCAGCCTCCCCGTTACTTGTTCACTATCCCTGGGCCCACTTGCCCTTCATAAACAAAGGCCAGGGGTGCATAGGGCTTGGTGTTAAACTGGGGGCTGTGCTACCTATGGAATACAGTGGAGTCAGGCTGTAGAGTTTATGCTGGTTCTGCAGTGTCCTTTCCCCAAGGACAGCCCAAGTCCTATCCCAGGACAGGCACCCCATTCTTCTGATCCTCCAGAGGTGAAGGCTAGAGGACTGGGGGGGGTCACTGTCTGATCCTAGGGTAGCCTGATGGTGCATTAGGCCACAACCCTGTTTTCTTTCTACCCAGGGGAGTTTGGGGAAGTTTATCGAGGGACCCTGAGCCTCCCCCACCAAAATTGCAAGACTGTGGCCATTAAGACCTTGAAAGACACGTCCCCGGATGGCCAGTGGTGGAACTTCCTTCGAGAGGCCACTATCATGGGCCAGTTCAACCACCCACACATTCTGCATCTGGAAGGCGTCATTACAAAGAGTATGAGCAGTAGTCTCTATGAGGTTGGGGGAGAGTGCAAGGGAAGGAGGGAGTGAGCCCACCCACTGGAAGTGGAGGGTGTACTGCAAGGACAGGAAGAGTGACGGCAGGCACTCTGTGTCCCAGGAAAGCCCATCATGATCATCACAGAGTTTATGGAAAATGGAGCCCTGGATGCCTTCCTGAAGGTAAGGGGCACAGAGGACCAGCTGGGGATAGGGATGCGCCATGGAGCTCTGAATCTTGGGAAGAGGAGACCTGCCCATTCTCTGACTCACTCACTCATGCTGCTGCAGGATCGGGAAGACCAACTGAGCCCTGGGCACCTGGTGGCCATGCTACATGGCATAGCATCCGGCATGAACTACCTCAGTGACCACAATTACGTCCACCGGGACCTGGCTGCCAGGAACATCTTGGTGAATCAGAACCTGTGCTGCAAGGTGTCTGACTTTGGCCTGACTCGTCTTTTGGATGACTTTGGTGGCACCTATGAAACTCAGGTTAGGATGAATGCCATGGCTGCATGACATTCATACAGTTGCACATGTACACAAGGAGTCATGCTTGCATGGGCACAGTAACCTTCTGTCCCTTGCCCACAGTCACTTCTTACCTATCATGTGCCGCTTGTCTGCCCTGTGCCTTCTTAGGGGGGGAAGATTCCCATCCGTTGGACAGCCCCCGAAGCCATTGCCCAGCGGATCTTCACCACAGCCAGTGATATGTGGAGCTTTGGGATTGTGATGTGGGAGGTGCTGAGCTTTGGGGACAAGCCCTACGGGGATATGAGCAATCAGGAGGTAAGTCTGGAAATTCCTCCCCATAGAATCCCTAACTCAAGGGCCAGGGATTTAGCTCAGTGGTTCCGCCACCTGTCTGGCAAGCGCAAGGTCCCAAGTTCAATCCCCGGTACCAAAAAAGAGAATCCCTGACTCAGACCTCATCTCTCAAATCCATCCCGTGTTCACTTTCTACAGGTAACCCTGTTTCATCCTGGCCCATCTTTTGCACTCCTATACCCTCACACTTTGTTCTTTTTGTCTCTCCCACCCTGGTCAGGGTTGTTTCGGAGGCTCCATGGCATTGACTGTGTGACTGTTGTTTCCTCCTGGTCCTCCAAGTGGGCCTCCGACCTGTCCCTGCTGTAGGTCATGAAAAGTATTGAGGATGGGTACCGGCTGCCCCCTCCTGTGGACTGTCCTGCCGCTCTGTATGAACTCATGAAGGGCTGCTGGGCATACGATCGTGCTTGTCGGCCCACCTTCGCCCAGCTGCAGGGACAGCTGGAGAAACTGCTTGCTGACCCTTTCTCCCTGAGGACCACTGCCAACTTTGATCCCAGGTACCTTGCTGGGACAGGACAGGGGAATTCGGAGGTCAGATCTGGAAGCACACTAAGACAGAGTGCGACAGATGCATCTCCCCTGAGATGGGGAGAGGCCAGTTCTGGATCACCCACACTGCAGAAAATTACAGCCAGAGCCCAATCTGCCTAACCAACCTGGGAGCTGTCCTGGAGCCACTGCATTGTGCTATGACTAGAGCCACATTTTTCCCGGGGAGATTTTTGGCCCAATCCGGGTCTTGGCTGCATCCCCTTCCCCATGGAAATATTCCTGTCAGTGGGGCAGAGGTTCACACATTCAACAAATTCTGGAGTGCCCGCTGCTGTGGTCCCTGTGCTGGACACTGGAGCTATGGCAAGGTTAGGGTCTGGCGCCTGTTCCAGGGAGCCTGGGCAGTGAGGCTGGGGTGGGGACAGTAGGGGCAGCCTCGGTGGCCTGGGGAAGGCTCTCCCAAGACATAGCCAGTCTGGGGGAGCCGAGGGTGGGCAGACGGCAGATGCTACAGGATGAGGGCAGCATCCAGTCCAGGCTGAAGCTGGGGAAGCAGCAGGGGTCGGCACAGAGAAGCACTTCTCAGATTGGGCTTCCTGAGTGCAGGGCACTGCTGACCCACCTTTCAGAACTGTCCCTGGGAAGGGGGGATATGGTCACAACTGCCTTTTACCAAAAACATAGCCAGAATGTAGAGCACGAGTGGCAGGAACAAGAAAGGTAGGGGAGCCAGGTAAGGCTGTGCTTCCGGTGCTTCCTCGGGTGAGCCAGCCAGGCTTCCTGGCCTCAGTATCAAACCTCCATATATAACCTTGTCTGGGAGAAAACATGCTCCAAGTTCCAACTTCTGAAACTATCTTTTGGAGCACAACTCCCTCATACACTGGAGACTGCATGTGCTAATCTTTCTGGAATGTTGGATATTTTTCCCCCAGCAGATTTACTTTGCTAATGGTTTTTGGCTCTGGCTGGCTTTCGTACAGGAACACTCATTGTATTGTGGGTGTCAAGAGTGCAAGAACAACAGCAAAGGTTGAAGGTGGTAAGTGGGGGCTGCTCTCAGGACACAGGGGCCACCCTGGAAAGAGCAGGACCACACCCAGCTGCAGGGCCTCCCCTAGCCAGCCAGCCAGTCATCTCTGACAGGCTGCAATCTACTTGTTAGGGGTACCCAGGGTAGCCACCCTCCCTAGATCTGTCCATCTAGCAGGACTGTCAGCAGTTGTTAAGCACACCAGGAAACCAGCCAGGAAGTAGGTCCAGACAATGGCCGGCTCATTCCACAAGCTCTCTGCTTGGGTACCCAGCTTCACTGGCCACTGCTGAGGTCAAGGTCAAAGCCAACCAGGCCTGTATGTGCAGATAACCGACAGCTTCCTACTGACAGGGTGACTCTCCGGCTGCCCAGCCTGAGTGGCTCAGACGGAATCCCTTATCGAAGCGTCTCTGAGTGGCTGGAGTCCATCCGCATGAAGCGCTACATCCTGCACTTCCGCTCAGCCGGCCTGGACACCATGGAGTGTGTGCTGGAGCTGACAGCCGAGTACAGACCTGCAGCTGGAATGACTGGGGTGAGAGGGGGTCTGGGGTCCAAGCCTTCAGATTCAAGGCCCTCCCTTCCTTTCTACAGGGACCTGACACAGATGGGAATCACTCTGCCCGGGCACCAGAAGCGCATTCTTTGCAGTATTCAGGGATTTAAGGACTGAGAGATCATCTCAGGGAGGAAACACCTCAGCTCTCCCTTCCACTCCCAAGGAAGCAAGGGCAGGGCCATGGTCACTCCCCGGGCCCTTCCTCAACCTACCACATGTAGGCTCTTGGTGCTACCCCTGCCCACTCTTCCAGGACTGAGCCTCTGGGCCCAGGAGGGAGCCTCTTTGTTTTAAAAAGGGCGGTAGGGGTGTAAGTCAAGGTGATTATGGGCAGGTGGGCAGTGGGGGATGATTTAATATATATATATACACATATATATTTTTGTAAATAAATAGGAACTGAGTTTTCATCCCTACCCCTGATCATTTTATTCCTCTCTCTCCTCCAAGGGCTACAGACACTGAGCCAAGTATGGAAAATTCTGGAAAACAAGGTTTTTTAATCTGTAGCTATAGCCACAACCCGGCGGTGCGGGCAGGGTGGGTGTCCAGGGTCCCAGAGGGTCAAGGCATCTCCTGACCCTCAGCAAGCAGAGTACGGAGGCTGCTCAGGGGCCAGCCAAGGGCATTGTCGTGCAGTGAAAGCAGCAGCACTAAACTGGTGCCCCCTCGGGTGGGGACCTGGAGGATGGTGGGTGGGCGATCCCTGCAGGCCGGGTGGGCCATGCTGGGGCCATGGGTCGGGGTACTTGAGATACCAGGGAGGGTTTTGGAATGGAGGAAGGCAGGGTGGGTAGAGGTGAGGACTGGTCTCAGTGTGGGTGGTCTGTGACCAGGAGAGGACCTGTGGTCTGGAAAGAGCCCTCACTCAGGTCTGGGCTCTTGCTGTATGGCACTTCCGACAAAGCACATGGCCATCCAAGGGGAAGCAGCCATTGTCGTCCGCCTCGATGGACAAAGGCTTCCCACAGTCCTGGGGAGAAGGGAGGGTAAGAGGTTCACTGGCCCAGAAGGTCCCTGCTCTACCCTTCTGTGCTGGGGCTCCATCTGAGTTGCAAAGGCCACTCGCTCCGGAGGGCTCAGAGCTGGAGTCCTGGTCACGTGTGTCTTCCCAGCCATTGTGCCTCTCCTGCAGTGGGCAGGGGTTGGTACACTGTCTTCAGGTACCCACTGCCCGCCACCCCAGTGTGCCTTTGGGGCTCTCCCATCCTATCTCAATCCCACTCTGATCTTGCTTCATAACCTCACCAACTGCCCCCATCCCACACCACAGTAAAGCGACACTCCCTTCCCTCCCATTGGCCAGTCCCTTCCTTAGTTTGTCCAAGACTTAAAGTGAACACCCAAGGAGCCAGAGGGACAGCTGACCTCACACTTGTAACACTTCATGTGGAAATTCTTGTCCAGAGCAACCACTCGCACAGTCTCATCTCGGCCAGGCTCCGGCATAATGGGCTCCGCGCAAACAGAGCACCGTGGGGCATACTGCCTGGGAGGGGAGACAGCAGGATGTGGGGTCAGGCACCTCAAGCCTCTCCCCACTGGACAGCACAGGGTACTGAGCCTGAGGCTGTCCAGCCACTCAGCAGACCTCCAAGTCCCACACGTCTAGATGGAGAAAGCTCAGGAGGAAGCCTAGGACCAAGTGCTACAGCCAGCCTTACAGGAACTTCCTGCCTCTCCTCCCACCTTCCCAATGCTCCACCTCTCACACAAGATGTCCCTCCTGCTCCCCCCTGCCCTCCCCTCCGCATGCAGGTGCTTCTGCCCTGATCCCCACACAATGCATAGGGACATGGAGCCCATGCCATCCCAGGTGCAAGCCTGAAAACGTACCCCCAAGATGTACCATCCAAGGTAGTGGGGCAGATTCTGCAGTTTTCTTGCCCCACCCTTCAGCTAAAAGTTCTCAGTCGGCCTGAGAACCTAGCTGTCCTGTAAGCTTTAGTGCTTTTAGCGAGAAACTGGTACTCCAAAAGTCTGAACTCCAAAGGAACTGGAGAACAAGCCTGCTTCTGAAATAGTCATTCTAGCTCATGCCACCAGGAATTGGACCCACCCAAAGGGGCCTCAGTAAAGAGCCGAGGGCTGCAGGGGAGCATCAGGACCACCTAGGCCTGGGGCCACCACACGGCTAAATCCAGATGAGTCCTTCCCTGGAATCAAGGCAGAAGTACATGGGGCCAGAATGCAAGACCAGGGGTCTGAGACTGTCCCAGGCCTGGGGGCAGCCTGCTACCAGACAAAGCAGGATAGAAGGCAGAGGACAGCCCAGAAGTCCTCACTTGTGATAGTCAGGGACGCAGTGGGGCCTGTTGGCCTGGTCCACGATGAAGGAGGTACCCTCCAGGGGGCAGGCGCAGACCACACAGGTGAAGCAGTGCGGGTGGTAGGCTTTGCCCGTGGCTCTCAGCATGCGGTCCGTGATGGGCTGTCCACAGGTGTGGCACTTTTCCAGGGTGTCCTGCAGAGGCAACAGCAGCAGGCTGGTGGGAAACTGGACCCTAACAGCCAGCTTCTGGATATCACCCCATCCCTGCTTGGCTCCTCACCCTGATTACTTACAGTGTAGCAGCCCTCACAGTACGGTGCCCCCTCCAGGCTGTAGAACTGCTGTCCTTGCAGCTGCTGCTCGCACTGGTGGCAGGTAAAGCAGGTGATGTGGAACAGCTGCCCCAGGGCTCGGACTGCAGGCTGCGCTCGTGCAAGTGGCTGATGGCACCGGCCACAGGACTCTGGGAAGGCCACAGAAAACTGCAGTCAACAGGAGGAAGAGATCTGGGGCCCAAACCCCATGCAATCTTTAACTGAGAGGGCAGCGTCTCCTGGGGCAGGTGGGAGACTCACCGTTCACAGCCACATTCTGCCTCTGAGGTTGTTCCATGTCCTGCATCAGCTGCTGGGTCAGCTGCTCCAGCTCCTCTACTTCCTTCAGAGTCAGGGGTCCTGGAGCCTCAGGAGAGCGCACCTGAAACCCCAACACATTTTTCATACTCTCCAGGTTCATACCCTCCAACACCCTCCCAATCCTGCCAAGAGGACTCCTTTCTCTCATGAGGACTCAGTTCCTGCCTGTCTCCTAGGTGCTCAGCTTCCAACTCCGCCTTCTCCGGCCTTGCCCAACCCCCAACACATAACAGAGGGGTAAGGGTGACCTTAGCCTGCATTCCCTGCAGAGTGAAAGAGAGAGGACAGAGATCTCCACCTGCTTCACCCAAACCCCAGCCAACTTTCCCCCCCGCCCCCACACCAGCAGTCACAGACAGGCCAGAACGACTGAGTGACAGAGGCCACGCACGCAGCAGCTCGGGTCACTGAAGCCACCAAACACACCAGGGCCACAAACCAACTTCACAGAGCATGCTCAGACGCAGCCCCCCAGAAGAAGGGCGGGCAAAGCGTGCACACACACCTACCCGGCCTGCCTGCTGCTGAGTAGCCCCTGTCAGCGTGAGGATGCAACACAGGCAGAAGCACAGGTTAAACACCAGAGCTGTCTGCAGAAGCCAAACCCAGCCCCCAAGAACAATCCTGGCTGAGGGGCTTCTGGTCTACCTAACTCCAATGCCTAAGCCAGCCCATCCCTCCTATTTAGGGGACCCTGAGTGCTGGAGACTGGGACTGGGGGCGGGGGCGGGGCGAAGGTTAGGAACAAAGCACTGCTGTGACCTGAGAACTCCAGCAGGGGCTGCCTCACCTGCACCTGCACCTGCACAGGAACTCTGGGTAGGTCTTCTCTACTAGGAGACAGGGCCACCCAGGATGATGACCCTAACACTGAGTGTTTGTCCTGCTGAAGCCTTCTTCATTCCTCCAACACTTGGGACCTCCAAAGCCTCCCTGCTACCACCTGCCACGGCCACCAGCCCCTTTCACATGCTCCGCTCCATCCCCACACCCACAGCGCATCACATGAAGAGCTACACGGCTCTGCTCTGCTTGGAGCTCAGGTCCCTGAAGCCAGCCTCCCCCAGATCTCCACGCTGTCCCTAAGATTCCTACCATCCGTGACTTTTAACTGACAGGAGCCCCTGAATGCAAGTTTCATCTTTTCCCTCCTGGAATTTGGGGTCAGGAAAAGGGACTCATCCAGTCCTTGCTCTCCAGAGCCACTATAAATGCTTGTTCACTCTTTGAAAGGAAGAACTAGCCATGTGCACCCCTCCGCAAGGGCATCCACATCCTTCAGGATACTATCAGCCACTGTGTCCTCCCTGCCTGACAGCTGTGTCATTGCTGCCACAACCATGAGACTCAAGACTTCTAGCCCCTCAACTCCCATAGCTCCAAATTCCTCTCCATCACAGCTGGCTTCCGTCTCAGGACACCTTGGACCTAAAGTTGATACTCTTTTGGCCCCAGCCACTCCCCCAAGTCCTTTGCATGACTCAAGCAAGGGCTTCAGGGTCCCTGACTCCCTGCCTCCCTCGTGTGCCTTGTCCATCAAGCTCCCAGGCTGGGCCTGGGCCAGCTGTGTCTACAAGGCTCCCCCTGTCACTCCTGCCACCTTGGCTATCTGGCCCACTCTGCAAGCCCGAGTCACACCCCTGCCTGCTTCCTGTTTCTGCCTCAAGGTGGCAGAAAGTAGGTGGAGAAATCACCACACACTGCAGAGTGTGCGCACAAACTACTGCAGCACCCTCCGTGCCTCTGGCCCAGCCTGGCTGTCTGGTATTTGGCTGCGGTGGCAGATTCCCAGTTGCCTTCCCACAGTAGCTGTTCCAAACCTTTCCCATCACTCTGGGCCCCCAACAACTTCACCCCCTCAAGCTCACTGATGACTTCACCCCTCTGTGACAGAGGATGGCAGGCAGCTAGCCAGTGTAAGCCTCGTCCTTCCCCTGAACACCTCAAGTATGACCCTGTCCCTGCTCTCTGGGGCAATTCTGAGGGTCAGTCAGTCCCTGCTCTTAGCTCCCCGACCCCTGCCCCACTAGCTTCTGTCTCCTGTTTACTGTAAACCTGGGCCCCTAAACTAAAAATTACACACAGAAACACACACACACACACACACACACACACACGCAAGACACTCACACACACAGTCCATCCCTTATCGCTGCCAATCTTTAAAACAAGGCTCCACCACCAACTCTGTGTTGTCACCACCTGCTCACTCCTGAACCCCTTATACTCTGCTCCCCACACAGGGTACAAATGGGCTACCCCAAGGTCATCTTCGATGTCCTCTAGTCAGATCTCTGGCCTTATCAGAGTCCTCCCACTCCTCAAACCCACAGCTGAAGGGCTCCCCAGGACTATCCCTCTCCCCCTCCCTCAAGCCCTTCTGCTCCTCTGCTGGACCTCAACCGCCCACCTAAGCAGCGTGGCTGGACCCAAGTTCCTCTCAGACCCTCAGCACCCCTCTCCACAGTCCCAGGATGACTGTCAGGTCCTACTGCCTCTGTCCCTGCACAAACCACCACCTGCTCTTCTCTACTTCAGGGCCACTCCTGAATCCCAGCCCCACATTTCTGGCTAAATGACAGTTCCAGCTGAAAGCAAGTACTCTTGGAACCGCTTGCTCAACACGCTGACAGCTGGACCCCTCCTCTTCCCGTCCAAACCATTTCCCCTCTTGGACTTCTCTATTTTGTCAGCAATACCATCACCCTCCAACACACCCAGGCTCTGATCCTCCAGGGCTTTTTTCTTCCCCTCTCTTCTTCCAACTGTTTATCATTGCCTCCTCCTGCAGGCCCTTCCTTTGTTAACAGCCCTTATCCCTGGGTCTTATTTTTCATTGCAACTAATGTTACTGTGGCCTGGAAGTGAACTCACACACATCACTGACCTCCAGACCTTTAACACACATCTCTGTTGAAAAAGGGTCCAGAAAGCTTCTAAAAGCACCCCTTCCACTGACCTAGTCACACACTACTCAAAGCTCACTAATGATTCTCCAGTATGCACGAGCTGTGTGGATTTCACTTCCTGATCCCTCAGGCCCCAGCCTACTTAAGTATAGCTCTACAACTTTCCCGCAAAGACCTTCTGCTTTCTGTTCTCCAAACATCCCCCGGTACATATGCACCCTTGAGCTTTACACACTCTCACCCTAACCCACACACGATAACCCGAGCTCTAACCACATGCTATTTCCATCAAAATGCTGTTTCCTCTCCCTTCTGCATTCTCGGCCTCGCCCATCATCATTCAAGGCACACCAGCTCCTCAAAGCCTTTTCTAACTTGCCAGTCCTCGAGCTGGCTCCCTGTTCTGAGTTCCTGTAACTCCCAAGATGGTGAGTTACAGGAACTGGCACTTGGCATTTCTTCCTATATGTAAACATTCTACGCATACACAGATGTTCACAGCGTTCGCTGGACTGTAAAGACAGACCACATGACCACTGGGGGTCTCAACTCAAAGACCTTATCTCCCGGATGAGAAGCCAAAAACCAATTCGCTTTGCTTGTTTCTATTTTGAGCATTTATGTGCTTTCTAAACATGAGCTCACTTGCTCTTTACAACCACCGTATGGGACAGATAAGTGTTATTTTAAGGTGAGAGAAACTGAGGCTCAAAGTTCACCTCACAGCTTGTGTGAAGCTGACCTGGGAATGCTATCCCAGGTGCCTGGACTCCCAAAGCCTGAGCCTCTTTGAGAGATCTCTTTCCTCTGTTGTCCCAGCCCTAGCAGCACAGGGCACAGGGCACAGGGCACAGGGCACAGGGCACAGGGCACAGAGCACAGAGCACAGAGCTGGTTCTCAGTTGATGCTGGCTCAGCCCGTGTTTGCTGGTGCTGCCACTATTATCTCAAGTTGGACCTCGGGGTGCTGAAAGTGCTCAGAGAAACAGAGATTAACTCAAGGCCCAAGAATGGGAAAAACCAAGGTTGGACTGGTGATCTCATCCTCCCCTGTAACATTCTGGGACAAAGGCACAAGCGAAGTTTGATCAAATCCGCCTACTGCAGAGCCCTGGCTGCTCTGCCCACTGAGTACAGCTCCACCCAGCACCAGCCCCAGCCAGGCCTCTCCTTTGGGGAGAGCTTTTTCTGGGCTTGCTCCCACCAATCTAACCCCACAGGGTGAAAATTTCTAACCGGCCACACCCATCCACCCTCCAGGTTACCTTCCCCTCTTTCTCTGCTCCGGCCTGAGCCCACCCTGAGCCCTGGTCTCAAGCCTCATCCCAGTTCCTCACCTGGCTTTGGTTTTGGGTCGGATGGGGCGCTGGGTGCTGCTTCTCCTGAACTGGGGGCTTCTCCTTCTGCTGCACATAGGTGAAGCTGGGGGGCTGAGGGGAGCCTGTGCCAGTGTGGGAGGGAGCTTCGGGAGACCCCAGTTTTTGACTGGGCTGTGACCCAGGTCCACCTGGGGCCCCAGGGCTGAACTTGGAAGCCGTGGGAGTAAACTTGGGTGCCACTGGAGAAAATTTCGGGGCTGGAGCAGGAGCTGGAGGACCCCAGGGCTGGGTGTTAGCGGAAGATACAGGCTGGGCCTGGGGCTTGGCCTGGGGCTGGACGTGAAGCTGGACCTGGGGCTTGGGCTGGACCTGGAACAGTGTCTGGCTCTGAGGTTGAGTCTGGGGCCCAGGCTGGGCACTAGAAGGCACCTTCCAGGGAGGCAGCAGTGCTGTTCCCCCAGCTGCAGGCTTAGGACTGGTCTTGGGAATGAATGGAGTGGCAGCAGGCTGGGGAACATACCCAGAGGACACCTGGAGGCCAAGGCAGAGGGGAAAGAAGTGCAGTTAGTGGCAGCTGTCTCCATAGTGCTACCTTTTGGGCCCAGCATTGCCTGCCCGCATGTCCCTTACCCGGGCTTTGAAGGGGTCGTTCTTGGTCATGTCATCCAGCAGGGAAGACAGAGAGTCAATCTCCAGGTCAATACTGCTAACCTTCTCCCTGGGCTAGAGGATCGGGGTCAGGGGTCAGAGCACCCATCCATTCCCACCCAAGTCCGACTCCCAGCTACGCAGACTTCTGAAGAGATAAGAGCAAAGCTTCTGGGCTCCTACCTGAGGTGGGAGGGGGGTGGGGGCCTCAGGCCCACCCTCCTCCTCCAGCGGGGGCGGTGGGGAGGGGAAGATGTCCTCCTCCAGGGGTGCAGGGGGAAACGGCTCCTCAACAGGAGGCGGCGGGGGTGGGAAGGCACCTCCCAGGGCTCCCTCCGCGTAGTGGCCATCCCCAAGCACCGGAGGCGGGGGCAAGGGAAAGTCTGGATAGAAAGGAAAAAGGGGGCCATAGTCACTTTCCCCCACTCCCACTTTCCCCTAATTCTCCTCCCTCTGCACCTCTAACCCTTAACCCCAAAAGTTTCTCGGGGTCACGGAGAGAGAGATGGGGGTCGGGGGTCGGGAAAGGCCGGGGCTCAGCCAGGGAGGTGCAGCTCCAGTTACACAGCGGAGAGCAGGCTCCGAGGGGTCGATCCGTGGCCCACATTCCTGGCTCCCACCCCCAGGCGGGAGACTTGGAACGATCCCAGGAGCCCTGGCTCCCAGCCATGAGCTCCAGGATGAGGTAAGAGCATCTGCTCGGGACAGGATGGCTGCGCCCAGCCCCCTCCGCCACAACCTTTCCAGACACCCCCAAATCCCAGAAGCCGGGGTCTAGACTGCCAGCCCAGCCATGTACCTTCAGGGGGCGGCGGGGGAATCTCGCCCACCCGGCCTATCTGTGCGCGCTGGGCCCCGGCTGCCCCGGGAGGCTCGCTGTCCCCAAGCCGGAAAGGATTCACTTTGGGCTTTGGGGCTACCACCGGGGCGAACTTCTTCTGCGGGGCGTAGAAAGCCGGAGCCGAGACAGAGATCGCGGGGGGCGGGCGGGGGGCCGCCATGGCCGGGACGCGCTGCGGGGGACGGAGGCCGGGTTACCGAGGACCCCCGGCGCCCCGGGCTCCCCGGCGACCCCACCGCCCACCCCGGGGCCGAGCGCCTCACCACCGGCCGGAGCGTGCGCGCCGCGTCTGCTCCGGGCCGCGTTCGCGGACTGTGCGACCGGGTCCGGAACAGTCTCCAGTCAGGCGGGGAGGGACGCAGGAAAAAGGGAGGGAGAGAGGGGGCGGGGAGAGCGCGGAGCCCAAACCTTACAAGGAGCGGCCCTAAGAGGGGGCGGGGAGAGCCGGGGAGGGCTGACAGGCAGGAAACTCCCCCAGGAAGGGGCCCTGAGCCTGCTCCCGGGCCCGAGGCCGAGGTCCGCCCGCCGCAGCCCCACTCCCAGCCGCCCCCCGCGGGCACGGACCACCCCTCCCCGAGCTCAGGCCTCTGATGTCATTTCCTGACCTGCCCCGCTCCCGGCCGACCGCGAGTGCCGGAGATCTGACTCACCCTCCCCACTCGGGGCTGAGCTGGAGGGTGGGCGTCCCAGAGGTGCCGAGGCAGCCTAGCCCCCCTCTCCCGGCCCGATCGTACCTACCCCTTACCACCGCGGCTGCTCCTACTCGGAGCCGCGAGCCCCAGATGCCCTGGGGTCAGCCCCAGGCTGGTGAACTGAATGCCCCTGGGGCCCCAGGGTGGGAGCGGATGGCAAGGGGGCGTTCTCTCTCCCCGCGCGCCTGCGGCTGGCCGGTGTGTGAACGCCTCGGGAGTACTTGCGGGACGCTAACTTCCAAAGCCGGGCAGCCTCTGATGGCTTCTAGGAATTCTCATCGCCCGCGCCCCAGCGCGGCGGGATTAAGGTTTGAGAACCTGGGAGGCGGGCGAGGGTCCCCGACGGAATTGGGGCCGGGACGCGCCGGGACCGAGACGCAGGCGCCCCCGGCGGCCTGTCCCAGAGAAAAGCGTTTGGGCGCGGTGAGGAGCTTGGAGGTTCGGAGCCTGCGCTCGGTGGAGCCCCCCTCTGGTCCGACCGGATTCCTCAGCCTGCAACTGTGCCCCAGGCTACGCGAAAGACACCAGACCTGTGTTATTTTATTTACTTATTATTTATTTTAATTATAGATGGAAACTTACCCAATTGCTGCCTCAAATGTTACACTTTCATTTGTGCAAACTACGGAGTCAGGCATTTAGCCCTCTACCACTTCCCCGGGCGTTTCCTGTTCTCTCATCTGTCATCCCTGACTGATAGCTGACCAGCGTGACACAGTCCTCTAGTTCACTTCTGCGCGCTTTCCAGTCCCTGGCCCTCCTCGACTGCTGCACCCTGCTGTCCAAGAGCGTCTGGGCTGCGTTAAGGCTGACCCGATGGCCCAGGCCAGAGTCACTCGCCTGCACCCCGATGTTGGGATGTCGGGTAAAGCAACTTGCTGGGTGCAAAGCAAGGGGAGGCCAAGGAGCCACATCCCAGCCCGATGTCCAAACCACAAGTCTCTTCCCTCTCTCGGCTTCAGTTCCTCTATCCTGAAGAGCAATGGTGCTGGGCATGGTGGTGCACACCTGTGATCCCAGCATGCTGGAGGCTGAGATGGGCGCATGCTGCGAGTTCCAGGCCAGCCTGAACAACATAAAGAGACCCTGTCTCAAAAAAAATGGCTTCAGGACCTCCCCGCATTGCATTACATGGAAAAATAAATGAAGTGCCAGATCTGCAAGAGTCATGTAATGCTCAGTATTAGTATTATTCAGTTCTCAGTGCTGCCCAGAACTGAAACCCCAACCCGAGACACTTTCCCCTGGCCAGGTAGATCTCTCTTGGGTCTTGGTAACTGCAGTGCCCCTCCTCCCTTCTAACAAAGTCTTTAATTATATCCAAGACTACATCTTCATTGTTTTCTCAGCCCCTACTTGTCTTTCTCTTCTCTGGCATTTTATCATCTTTGTCACAAGTATTTCTTACAGCCACAGCATGTGTGGCTATGTATGATACAAAGTGTGCTGTGCACAGCTCTCTGACACGCACAAGCTGGTCCTGGGCCTGTCCCTAAGACGATCTGTGAGAAATTTGATACTGGCTTTTCCTGAGCATGTCAGAGATTGTTTCTTGAGCTTTATAAACCAAAAGCTTCACTCATCACCGTCCTTCCACATATGCCCACTTAAATCCAGGTGTGGTGGCACAGGCCTGTAATCCCAGCACTTGGAAGGCTGAATCAGGAGGATCGCTGCAAGTTGGAGGCCAATCTGGACTACATAGTGAGTTCAAGGTCAGCCTAAACTACATAGTGAGATCTTGTAGTAAAACAAAAAAGCCCACTTAGTAAGATAGTTTCCAGATAACTCTTTCATAATAGTAAAAGTCAAGCAGGATGTGCTGGTACAAGCCTTTAATTTCAGCATTCTGGAGGCTGAGGCAGGAGAGTTGAAAGTTCAAGGCCAACCTAGGCAGACTTTGTGGGTTTTTTTGTTGTTTTTTTTCAAAGAAGGAATAAAAGCCATCTACCCTTTAAAAATCTCCTTAAAGAATATGCATGTGCAAAATAGAGTGTGTGTAATTGTTAGGGAGCTGAACCTATTTATAAATCAAGAATAGAAGAGTGCGTGGGCAGGCTCAGTTTTAGTGACAACTCAGCATTTGGGTTGCAGAACACAAAAGCGAAGAGTTTTTAAACCAGCAATTCTCAATACAAGTAGAAACACAAAGAATGGCTCAGGATGTCTCAGGAGGTGCTTCAGAGTCAATCGATGCTATTAAAATTCAGACAATGAACAGAACTGCCTTGAAAATTCTCAGGTATTTTCCTTAAGCAAACAATTCTGATTGGTATCCTCAGGTAGTGAAGTATAGGGAGTCACACCCAGCAGCCTGGAAGCAGGCCAGGGAGAAGTAACAAAACAAACCCTGACCCTTGCTCAGGAAAAGATCTCTACACGCCTCCACGGATTTATAGCCACCAGGTACTAGAAAGTCTGCTTCATGGTGAACAGTGTAAAGTAACACGTTGAAAGTACTCAGGGAAGAAAAGTGAATCAGATGGTAAAGAGGCATGCCATCCAGAGGACCTTTCTGCATGCTTGCTGCCAGTGGACAAGGGAGAAATTATGTGCCACACAGCCCTGAGCACTCTAACGAGGATAACAACCACGACCGCAGTAACTGCGCACACTTAGGCCAGGGTGTGGCTCCTTCAGTGTGCACAGAGGCTCTGGAAGCAAACCAGCACACTCAGGTAGTGAGTAGTAGGCCATTCTAGACACACAGTGCTAACTAAGCTCTGAATGTGTTACCCCAATTAATCCTCATGATCAACCTGTGAGAACATGCATTATTACCCCATTTCTCATTTAAGGAAGCCGAAGCTTACTAGACAGTGAATTTTCACCACCTAAATGACACAGTTTTTGGCCACAGAAAAATGTTATTATTTTAAACATTTCTACCAGCCTTGCCTACATGCTTTTATGCCATGGCTCCTCCGCCTAGCCAGCCCCCGGCCCTCCTCAGCCTTTCCTTTTTTTTTTTTAAGAGACAGGGTTTCACTATATATTCCAGCAGCCTGGTCTTGAACTCTTGAACTCATGATGTAGCCTAGGCTGGCCTGAACTTGTGGCAATCCTCTTGCTCAATCCTCAAGTGATGGGATTATAGGCATATGCCACGGTGTCCGGCTTCCGCAGCCTTTCAATTCTGCCTCCAACCGAACCCTCTTACTTTATACCCTTGGACCACCATTTTCTCCTTCTGTCCCAAGACACTATCACATGCCATCTGTCTGTCCATCTACACATGTGTACACATACATGTTCTGTATCCGTGAGTTGTGTGTATATATGCTTTTGTATGAGTACATTTCTTTAAAAGTATGTTTCTAGATTTCTAAAAAAATTATTAACAGGAGCCAGGTATGGTGGCAAATACCTTACATCTCAGCACTTGGAAGGCTGAAGCAGGAGGATTGTGATTTTGAGACTAGCCTGGACTCCATAGGGAGACCCTGTCTCAAACTACCATCATCCCCTCCAAAAAAAAAGAAATTTATTTATTAATTAATTAATTTATGATACTGAGAATTAAACTCCAGGCCTTCCCATGGAGCTATATTTCTTTTTTATTTTTTAAATTTTGTGACAGGGTCTCATTAAGGGGCTAAATTGCACAGGCTGGGTTTAAACTTGCCATCTCTCCCTGCCTCAGCCTCCCAGAGTGCTAGGATTACAGGTGTGCGCCAGCCCATTCGTTGGCTTTAGGGAACAGAATTAGGGATGGCAAGAGGCTTTTATACTGTTGTATTTTCCCCTGTGCACATGTGTTACTTTTATAATCTTTAAAAAAAAAAAAAAAACAGAAAGGAGAAGGAAGAAAGAAGCCTCCCGTCTTGATTTTCTGCAAAGTGCTTCCCTGTGGCCCTGGCCTGTCTGTCAGAAGGAGTCGCACCGGGGTCTGCAGACACAGGAAGGGTAAATGGGATGAAGCCGAGGTGGGGGTGGAGAGGTCAGCGCAGCAGGGACCTCTGTGGCCAAGGCCAAAGACCAGCAGCTTCCCGATGAGACCCCCGGAAGGGCAGGGCTGAGGCCTCCACGTGCCAGCCCCATGACCTCCTTCCTTCCAGCCCTGATAGCAGAGCATCTTCCTCTACACTCAGGCGCTTCCCCAGCCTCAGGGGAACCAGTATTTACCAAAGAGCTTCTACAGTCTAGGCACTCAGAATATAGAGAGAAATAATCCCAGTTCTTGCCTTTGAAAAATTTTTCTTTTTTAATAACCTACCCAGTTTTGCTGGCTGGCTGTGGAAGCACTAATTCCAATAACTGGGTGTCCTTCCCATGCAGAGAAGCAGCGAGGGCAGGGCCCAAGGCTCCCAATCTAGAGCCGGCATCTCCGGCATCTCTATCTCGGGAGCAGAGGTCAGAGGAGCAGGCGAAGGCAGGACTCCTCCCTCCCTAGGGCTGGACCAGATGGGCACCCAAAGGCACTGCAAGCATCAGCAAGCCAGAAAGCCGGGGGGAGGGCGGGGCGGGCAGAGCAAGGCAGATGGTCAGATGGCAAAGAGTCAGCCACCGTGGGAGTCAAGAAGGGCAGACAGGAAAAGAGACCCCGGGTACCCACAACAGTGCTGGCAGGTTGCTGGCACCAAGGCAGCTGCTTAGTGAGGCATCTGCTCCTTCCTTCTCCCTACATCCAGAAGAAGCCAAAATCAGAGAGCCTGGCCTGGAAGCTGGAGTGGTTGTCACTGGAAATAGCTGACTGTCTTCAGAGGGAGTAAACATTTCAGATTGGCAGTCGAACAGCCACAGATAACCTATCTAGCTTGAAATGAAAAGCACTTCCTGATCTGTTTGCTCCT